CTCCTGTGCTTTTTTGTTGGAAATGTCTGAAATTTTTCAGGGTGGTTTGAGTATTGGGGGATTGATGCTATTAAATTTTGGCAGTTAAAGGTCGACGAGGAGGAGATAAAGGGCGGTCGTGTGTCTTATCTCGAGTAGGGTCGGACTTAATGATCATTTTACTTGTTATTAGCATTTACAATTTTTTTTAAAAATAAAACTCATCCCTACCCTCAAAGTTAAGCTTTTTGACATTTTATAATAATTAAAATATAAAAAGTTTTTAATAATAAAATATAATATCAGATGCGCCAGTTTTAAATGTTGCCGGGAAAGTTAAGCAACTCGTTGCTGGATTTTTTTTAATAGCACAAATAAAAATGCACCCGACTTTTTGAATTGTCTTTATTTATCATAGTATATCAATATAGATTTTCTATTTTATGTAACTGAATTATTATGAAATACGGAAAATATTTAATATTTGAAGAAAGATTCATTGGTGTCGAAAGTTTATTTCATAATTTTTTCACTGATTTCGCTAAGTGTATTTGAATTAGTTTGGATCGATGCTAAAAAGTCAGTAAGGTTTAAGATGATAAATATTGTCTTTCTTTCTTAAATATACATTTTTTTTTTTTTTTTGCGATTGAGAGTAAAGAATAATTCAATTATAGTTAAAGAATACTGAAAAGTAAGTACTGTGTCTTGATGTAGGTCTAAATTTAACATATGAATGAAATCCTTGTACATTAAAAAGAAAGTAAAAGGGTAATTTTATATAAATAAAAATGTGAATGATATTCTATATTTGGAATAAATATAATTCTTTGTAACAGTTGAAATATAAGATATACTTTTTACACAGTGAAGAATTAATTTGAAAATTTTTTAAACGGAATGAATTAATGTATGAAAAATAAATATAAAATAAAATTTAATAATGTTATATAAAAATGTTTATAAAAAGGAAGTCCGTATAATAATGAAACGGCCGATCGTGAATCGTAAGTTTTTATCGACGAAAATCAGATAAGCATGACAAAGAAAACGATAATTGATGATAATTCAACTTTACGAAATTCAATATAGGAAAAAACCATGGTTATTTTTTTTATAAAATAAAATTGTTTTGATTGTGTTTATATTTCTATACATACGTTTGCGCACACGTGATCATTTCAAAATAGTAAATAGATCTGACATTCGTGGAAAGTTTGAGTTGCCAAGAAAAGAAACACTAGATAAAGTTTATCTAAATTCGTTTTAGATGTGTATTAATAATTCGCTCGAACATACACGCCATCTTTCAACTCGCTTGTCAGTTTGTTTTTCTTTTTTTATTATGGTTGAACTCGAAAATGATATAATATTCGCTATGCTATAATAAATGGTTAACACTGGCTTTCATTCTCTATTCAAATCAGCATCCGTTTTATTTACTGATAAAATCATTGTTACAGTCATGGCTTTGGAATACAAAGGAGCGAGTATTATTCTGTACTACATAATGTGCTTACTGCCAATAGCTATGTAGCTGCACTTATGTTATAAATTTTTAATGCAAAGTGAAAAGATTTTGTGAATGAATAAGTTTAACAAATGCAGCCATAAATAATAATAATCGGCTAGTTTACAAGATTCTCTGGTCTAGTTGATTTTTTAAAATTTTATTCTAATGCTTTAGGAAATATTTAACTCGCTAAGTTATCATTGGCTTATAGACTTATATAATTCTTTATAAGGAGGAGGTGGTTATTAATAATTTTGGGTAAAAATAGTTTAAATTGAAAATGACCTAATTAAATATAAATGTAACGATGATTTTTTTCCTAATCAGAATTTTATTTACGCTGTATAATTGCCGGAAGTATGCATTCTACCTTTCAGGTATACAATACGCAGATTACAATATCATCTGAAAACATGTAATATTCGTACATAAAATTTAATTGTTTTAAGCTTAATATTGAATTATTTATGGTTCATATTGAAAACATGGTGGTAATATTTTTCATTTTAAATATTATATTTTATAAAAGAAAATGCTAGCATATAAATCATGTAGTTTATTATTATTATTATTATTATTATTATTATTAATTACTCTATTGTTAAAAATACTTTTTAATTTTTAAAAAATGTACATATAATTAATAAATACAATATTACATATTGTATTGTAATATTTTATGTAAGTACATTTGAGCTAAATTAAGAAAACTGGGAGAAAGAATGTTTGAAGGTTACATAAGTACAATAAGCAATTAGAAACGTTGTCTTAAGATCCTTCATGCCAGAATTTATTTAAATAGAAATTATGTAATGACTATTGACTTTCCCTACTCTATTCTTATATTTACTCGTTCTTCTCAAATATCTATTCGCTCAGTTAATCTCATCTAACCCTAAACATTTTTCCTTTTTTAATTGATCATCTAGTAAAACGGCTTTTTAATACAGATAGATAAGAGAGCCAATGACATACTCCGTTTCATTAAAATGAACTATATCATTGGCTTGCCTGTCCAGTTGTGTTAATGCCACGTTACCAGGCAGAGTTGCCAATATAATTATAAGATTTATTTATTTATATCGAGAATATACGAATTTAATAATTCGTATTGTATTTGGTAAAGGAAAGTTCTTACAGCTGTCAAAATATTTTACTCATCTAATTTCGTAATCTTATTTACACATCCATTTATTGTAAAAATTATAGTATTGTCGATTATCAATATTTACTAGATGTGTGTAGGTCGGTAACCCGAGATCGCGAACAACAAATATAAATTCTTTTGATATTTTGATAAATAAACAGTAAGCGATTAGGTATCTACATATATGAAATATAGACTATTTTTTTAATATAAATTATTTAAAATACTCCTAACTCTCTTTACATCATTTGAAGANTATATATATATATAATTTAAATGCAAATTTAATAGAGATTATTTATGTTTTATTGGTAAATATTTGTTGCTTAATTATTTTATTTAATTCTTTTAACAATTCAAAAACTAATTTAGACCAGTAGTAGGATTACTTGTATAAAATTGCATTGTCCATAGATTATTTTAACACAATCGAAGGTAAAAAATCGAAATTCCAAATAGGAATTTTTTTTAAAAAAATTTTAAAGTGATAAGACAAGTCAAAAGACATGGTAAAACACCGGAAATGTACTTAAAAAAACAAACAAAAAAATTATAAAAAATTGACGGTGCCAACCCTTTCTTTGAGACTACTCGGCCGTCTCCAAAAGTGTCTACGTTTAAATAAAAATATTGAACTTTTTAAGCAAAGAATAAATACCGTATTTTACATTTACAATGAATTTTTATACGTTTATTTATTTTAACGAAAGCAGTTTAGTAATTAAGATGGGCATATTAAAGGATGTTTTTAATTAAAAATGGCTGACAATATTTATGCGGTTAAAAGTACGTAGAAGAAACTAAAATGTTTCCACTTTTCGTCATGATATTGTTTTTATTTCCGTTCATTTATTATTTATAACTTTTAACAAATTACATTTACGAACCGTATGAAAAGTTTTTGCCAGCCGGATTTCCTGCGAGTATGTCTGTCAGTATTTGCTAATAGTAATAAATAATAATATCGAATTAATTTGAAAAGATCGAGAAGTGTTAAAATATTTACAATGTTTTCGTGTATTTAGAGAACAATGCCGAATGATTAATAATTAAGAAATTATAAACGAATTTAAAATTTTTATTGAATAATTACTACAGTAGTTACTAGATGGCGCGAAGGTAATTTCATTCATACGTGGATATCGATGGGAATTGAGATTTGGCATTTCGACTCACGAATATAGAATATACTAAATAAATTATTTGTCTATAAAGTGTTAAAATAGTTTGTTTGTTGTTTAATTTAATAAATTTTGCGATGTCTCATTTAAAACTTCTGGTTTGAATACGTTTGTAACTATTGTTTTTATCTAATGGTAAATGGGAATGAGTGATAAATATTAGTTGAAAGTGTGGGTTATATGAAAAATAAATGATTTCGTTTTTTATGTGTGATAAACGGGAAATTCCACCTCTTTTTTGACTTAAAAATGGTGGAATTTTCCGTTATAGCGAATCAGAATGGTAGAAATTACTGATCAATGTTATGCCATTAAAATATTCAGAAATATCAACATACATTATTATTTTAAATGTTTTAAAAATGTTTTCCATATTTATTTATTATTCGATGAATAAATCTGGAAAATACTTTCAAAATAACTATTAAATGAATTGTATTAATAAAATTTCGGGATTGATTTGAAGTGGTATTTAAATCTTTTAATCTGCAGTCAAATATTTTACATACGAATTTATTTGGTTTTAAAGTTTTAAAGTATGCTTGTCCTCGATCCTTATAAAATTTTTCTTCTATATATTGAGTATAGTGATAAGTAATGTTTAAATATTTTATCTTTACCGGCAAGTTGAATGAATCAAATTATCCTTATCATATATTACGAAAGTAAAATGTATGTAATATATAAATTGCCAACAAGGTCGAAATATAACTAGTTTCTTTATTTTCAAATATATATATACGATAGCCTGTATTTCATTAACGACGACCTCAGTTATTAAGGAAGTTCACTAATGGGGGAAACATAAATTTTATGCGCATTTTTCAAGGTTAAGAATAAGAATAGAGGAAAGATTTAACAGTTTCATTCTTATTCTTTACATTTTCTGAACTAAAACTGTTGATTTGTTTCGCTTTTTATACGGTGTATTCACTTTCGATAAGATATACTTTGTTAAAAGGGCAGTGCTCTCTACCACTATTGATACTACATTGACGAGTGACAGGTGTTCTTTTTTCTTCTAGAGATGTTTGACTTGAACGAGGCAATTATCATCTGTAAACTTCTCAAACGTAATCTTATTTTCAAAATGAATTTTTGCTTAAATCAACGTTTTAGTTTACAACTGTATTCTTATAATAGATCGACAATGGTCTTAAATCGATTATTTCTTTCTCAGCTTCCGGCATGAACCATCCTTATCATCAGCATCAGTTGGTGAACACGTACTTCCTCACACCCATCTTTTGTAGGAATTGTAAGTATGTTTAAGTAGCTGTTAAACTTTAAATACATTAAAGTAGAAATTTGATAGACTTGTAAAATTCACTTAAAATATCTAATATATTCGTATTACGATGTTTTATCTGTTTATTGTCTCTGCTTCGAATGCAAGATTATATTCGTTGCCACATAAAAAAAAAAATGTTCGAATAATAATCTTAAATTATTATTATTTTTCTTCTTTCGATATTTAGGTAAAGATTATATATGGGGAAGAGGTCAAGTTGGTGCTAAATGTGAAGGTGAGTGATATTTTCCAAGCGATTTTTGTATTTATTTTAACGGTAAGTAAAGATCAATACTTATAATGGCGAAAAATCGCCGCAATCGCGTTATATCGGAAAAATGAAAGTAAATATTACATTTATACGGAAAGAACTGTAAAAGGAGGGACCACTCCGCTATGTGATTGTACTCCTTACAGTAAAAATAAATAACGACTACAATTTCTCTCTTCTAACTACGAATATTCTTTTTAGTAATTTTTTCGGCCTAGTTTACTATTATTATATAAAAATAAATTAAATTGATTAATCTCATTTCGATTTAAAAAAAATAAAAGTGAGTGTTTTTATATTCGTTTCACACAGTAGATTAAAAAAAAATACGGAAAGATCTCTTTCCCTCGAGGTTAAAAAGACTGCTGTTTTAGTATTTATCGTTTGTAGTCGTATGTTATTTTTTGCTTTTTATGTTGAGAAACGCGTTTGCGATGTATATAGAATTTTAATATGTTCGAATTTGACGTCTCAGATGTTTTAGCGTTTCGCGATGCGTGTAAGTGGTAATGTCTAAATAGCTGTTTCCTCCTAGCAACTGTGTTGCCGTCGGTGATTGGACGAGTCTCTCCGTAGTCTACCCAATGGTGATTCGTAAAATAGGTATAGCTTCATACTGAGTGGAAGCGTGACATGCCGAGTAATCGCTCATCATCTGCGATGGCAGGGTGAAGCCTTGTTAGTTCGGTGGCTCGGCGTCGCTCTCGTTACAACTCTCGATCGAAAACTGTCTAAATGCAAATGTTTACTGCCGTTATTTTAAATTGTAATATGAGAGACTGTAATGCACTTTCAAGGACTATATAACGAAAAGGCAGTTGACGGATGCTGCCCTGCTTGTGGAGTTAGCGCTGCTGTGTTAAATGTTACGAGAGACGTTTTCACTGCCGATCACTTACATCACCGATGTTTTAGTAATGTTTCCTCCTATGTAATTCCATTTTCATCATCAGTTTTTTTCCATTTTTTTAATTCAGAGTGCCACAATTGCTTCCATAGAGTTTGCATTCCCTTTGCTCCAACTCAACTATGTCAGCCGGTATCTAATCTTCCACCTGTTACTGTGGACAGAGATGTGGTGAGTAATTGCGATAACCAATATTTTAAACTGTTTAGATATATACAAATATAAACAAACATATCGTCGAATAATTTTAGATGTATATTATCAAATGCCCTTGTCTTATATTAACTGATATGATTAGTTGAATTAAGTATTACTAGATACAGGTTGACAGTTATTGACTTTTTCTGTTGCGGAATTTTTATAATAATACCTGTGTATCAATATGTGGATAGATCTAAATTTTAAATATATAATAAATAATTTAATGGATATTTATTGATATTTTTTTATTACTGAATTTAATAAATGTGTAATTTCAGTAGTTTCAAATAAAATTATATTTAAATTGAAAATTCTTAAAATTTAGATTACATTAAATTTGAAACAGATTTTAATTTTGAGATTTATATGAAATTTTTTTATAGTTTCAAAGTTCAGTTTTAATCATAAAATATTATAAATCATTATACTGGTTTATTAAGTAATTAATAATTAATACTTTTAATAAGGTTTTAAGAATACTTTTTTTTTGTAAATAACTGGTTATTTTTTCTTCCTCTAGCCAATTTCACAGTGGTCTTCTGTAAATGTTGTGGAATGGATGGCTGCACTGAATTTCTATCGTTATGCTGATCTCTTCAAATGTACAGATATTAAAGGTTCTGAATTGATGACTCTAGATAGGGATAAACTGATGGTAAATAAAAAAAATTTTTGTTTTAAAGCTGAATTTACTAGTAATTTTCTTGTTGAATGATAAGATGAGGACAAACGTGAATGACAACAAAACGACTACCTTAATAAGAAAAAAAATATTCTGTATAAAATATGTTGTCGTATATGTTATGATTATTGTATTCCTATTGCAAATTTGAAAAATATAAACTTCAATATTTATAGAATGTGAAATTTTTAAAAGTTTTATACATTTATTTGTTTGCCATTTTTTAAATATAAATAGATATAAAAATGTCTTGTTTATTAAATGTAGAAAATATTAAATACTTAACTGCTAACTAATCAGAAATCAAGTATGCTTTGTAATTGTTGCCTTATTCGTTTTAAAAGTTGGAAAGATCCTGCATAGTAAGGTGTCACCCAACTTTTATGATTGATCAGAACTTATATCTGATCCAAATCTTATCATGGGTAGTATGAATTAGGAATTGCTTCATATTCTTCATTTGCCTACATCATTGCCTATAATGGGTGAAATTGTTGTTGGCAATATAGTCTTAATATATAGTGCTTTGATTTCTTTTAAAACAGTTTTGTTTAAAATATTTTTGAAAATTATTTAAGTAAAAGTTTTAAAATTTTTAATAAAATTAATTAAAATTTAAAATATCCAATGGGCCAGAAATTTAAATTCAAAAATTAAAAAAAAAAAAAAAAGGAAAATCGCTTAATCTGTTCCAACTTTAGAGATGATTAACATGTTCGAACAACACATAGCAAGAAAGAAATTATCTATTCTCACTTTCATTATACAACTGTAAGTAACCTATGATATGCATATCACCAATATTGGCCAAAGTGTTGTCACTTTGGCGAAATGCATATGATAGGTAACTTACAGTTGTATAATGAAACTGAGAATAGATAATTCCTTTCTTGCTATAAGTGTTGTTTGAATGTGTTAATCACCTCTAAAGTTGGAATAGATTGAGTGTTTTTTCCTCGTGTTTTTTAAAAATTTTTGAGTTTTAAAATTTTATTTATAACATATTGAATTTCCTTTGAACAAAAAAGGATTTAAGTTTAAGGAGTTTTAAGGAGTCCAGAAATTTATCCATGATTGTTTTTGAGACATCTCATCTTTAGATCGTCATTAATATAATTGAAAATGAGGTCTTGAAAAACATTTAATAATGAATAAATTTCCAGTCTCCTTGAAACTTCAGTATTTTTAAATGATCTTGTTGATAAAGATTGAGCTATTGATTAATAAAAAAAGGATGTATTTATCCTCTGAATATGATTTATGATAGATGTGTTTATAATATATTTATAATAATGCTAATATATATTATTATTATTATTATTATGTTGGGTTTAGTAAGTTATACTTGGTTCACATCGGTTCTTGTGTACTATGCTGGACCAGAGTCAATACACTTTGATTCTGGTCTGGCTTAGTACACAGCAACCAGTGTCACCCGCAACCGAAACAAAACAAAAATTAAATAAGTGTGTCAGTGTGTGTCTATATTATTGTTATTATTATTATTATTATTAAATTAAAGCAATTTAAATGGATTATATTTAAAATATGAATGCAATTTTTAGTTTAAATCAATAAACTGAGAACTAACTATTTTATGAGTAGGTGGGAAAAATTTTAGTTTTGATTTTTTGATTTAAGAATGTTTTTGATTTTTTGATTTGATTTGTTTAGAAATTTTGATTTTTAGTTAATTAAAAAAATATTACAGTTGGATGTGAATGAAATTATTATAAATTTTCAACATAATTGTATCTTGTCAATAATATATCTATACAAACTAACAATGAAGTAAATTATTGATGAACCAAATACAGTATAAATACTAGTTTAAAGTATTTCACCAATGAGAGTTTTGGAACATTTGATTAAAATGCTTTTATTAGGTACATATTCATTTTTATTACTGCTAGTGTATGAAAGAGAAGCAAAACAAATTACATGTTTAAGAATGATGATGAAAATCCTGCAGTTACCAAATAACAATGATGCAAGCTGATTATTAGTCAGGATCAGGCCAGACAAGATCCATGGACAGCTAGTTGGACTATTCAACTGTGTAATGCACATAAACTGTACCTCTAACTCTTTTTCTGGTTGTGTGAAAGTATTTGTAAATCATGCTAACAAATGCTATTTTATATGTACTAATAAATAATTATTGCACAAAAATACAATACATAAACAGATTTAAGTTAATAAATTTATCCTTATTTAAAAATTCATGTTTAAAAGATTTCAACATTACCAAAATATATTCACAAAATTTACCAAAATAATTGTATGGCTATGTAGGCATATTACTCAAAGAACTATGATAGAGACTATCAAAAGAAAAACAGAGCATTTGATACTTTTTAAAATAACTTTATAGAAAAATGTAAGTATGAATCATTAAATAACTTAAAAAATTTTGGCAAACTATTTCAGTTTTGATAATTAAATGATTTTGAACCTCAGTATGAAAAGTATTAGCTCCTCATCTATTACAGTACTTTTCATATAACTATTATGAAATGTAGCTTAAATTTAGAATTGAACATACAGAACAAAATAATTCAAGTTTGTCCCTTTCAAAACAAAAATTATCATAAAAAGAATCAGATATGGATAATATGATTGAAAATAATTTAGTTAATAGATATTAAGTAAATTATTTTCAATCATATTATCCATATCTGAAAATTTTCTTTTGAATCTTGTTTTTCTTATAGGATTATTGGGCTTAACTAATTACATAGATATTACATAATTAGAACTAAAGATAGAATGCTAGGCAATATGAAATTTAAGTTGGTTTTAAGTAAAGTTAAATTCATATACAGTAGGTCACAACCATATGCAATCAAAATGTTCCAAGATCCCTCATAAGTGGAAATTTGCATAAAATAGTAAACTCCATTAATTATTAAGTATTTTCTACCCTAACATATTTATCACACATTTTTCTTATAAATAAGGAAAATAAACATCATATTAACAATAAATAGCATGAGACCATAAATCATAAAAACAACATAAAAAATTTTAATTCTCTCTCTCTCATGTTTGCAAACTAATTTGTATAAATGAGACGTAACACATGTCCACATGCTTCTTTTTAAGTGAGAACTCCAGACAACAGTGCTACCAGTAGACCTCCACAATACTTAGTTCAATGGTAATAAATATACCTGCATTGTATATCTGTAATAAAAGTTTCAAAATATTTTCCATTCATTTTATAACAACATATCTGCAATTGGGGAAATTTCCTGTCTTGTGGCAGCACTGCTGGGCAGACTGATGATAATCTCAGAGTTTAATAATAAACAAAGAAATGAAAGTCAGTAATGCTTTCCTACAATAAGAATGAACATGACTGAGAGAGATGCTGCAAGAATATTTTAAAATTAAAAATTTATTTATAATTATTAAATTTATTTTGAGATGGTGGCTTAACTGTCTATCTCTAGCCAAATTGCTTTGTATCTAATTATTAATTAGTCTTAATATAGCTTGATAAATAATCTGGCAGATCATTTGGCAATATATATTTATAAATCTATATTCAAAAAAATTTTTCAAATGCTTGTGTTTAAATATTAAGCATAAATACAGGAATATTTATGAAATAAAAAAATAAAAGCTTACTAAGTTACATGTATAATAGTTTCACATAGTATAATTCACAATAGAATAAAAGCTTCAGCATTTGCTATTGTTGAAAAATTATTGTGCACACAACTGATGCAAAAATATGATTACTGTAATATTATATTTGAATCATTATCATAGTTTTATGAGTTTTGATGATTGAATAACATAAATATATAATATTGTATATAACTAATTATATTGCTGTTTAAAATATTCTTGTTAATGTAATAGCATTACTTGAAGCAATGAGTTCTGTAACAAAATTGAAATTTTTTTATAAGAAAAATAACTAGATTTTGGCTTTTTATTTGTTGTTTTTTATAGTAGAGTGTACAATATTTGTATATTTCTAAATAAAATTAGTTTTTTTTTGCCAATCTGTTCTGAGAAATAATGAATTGCAGTTAAGGTCTTTATGGAAATAATATTACTAAATTTTTTTAAAAATTGTAACAATCCAACAATGTGAAAAACAAAATAATAATACTGTTAAAAAATTTTTTTAGTTTTATTTCACCATTTTGCAATTGAATAAATTTATCATATCAAAATATACTGAATTATTAACATAGTATATTAATATTGTATAATTTCTTATACAGTTTTTTTTTTAATCCAGAGTATGGGCATTAAAGATGACTTTTCTCAGAAAGCTATTCTAGTGTGTATAGATGAATTGTGTCAGAGGAGTAGTAATATTGTAAGTAATTGCACATTAATAAATTGCAAATGTACACTTATAAATATATTATTTTAATACTAAAGCAAAGAAATTTATTTTGCTATAGATATCATTAGAAGGAAAGAATATAAATGGTGGAGGAGAAGAAGGTAAAATTATGTACAGTGTATAAATACATTGTTTACTTTTTGATATAAGTTTATTTTAAGGTTTTTAATTTTCATGTTAGTTTAGCTGGATTTACATTAATTTAAGGTTATAATTTAAGTTATTGATAAATATAGTAATGTAGTTAATACTTTTAATGTGTTTATTGTTTACTTCTAACATTAAATTTTCTATAAAACAAACAAAAACATTACTGTTTCAACATTAAATCATAATTTGTAAATAATAATTTAGTAATGTTGATGTGTAATAGATAGGAATATGGAGATAGCTTTAACAGGTTTGTTTTTTCTGTAGTTAGTTTAATTTCTTTTATAATTGTTTTTTTTTTTTTCTTTAACATAATAATTTTTAACATAAAAGATTGAATCATCTTTTGTGTTATGCCTGTGTAAGATATTACTCAGACTGTCTGTCATGACTAATGTATAAAATTATAAAAATTTCCTTTTCTTTTTTTGTTTTTTATTTAACAAGAATAGTGATTTAATTAAGATATAAAAAATTCATTTGTATAGTGTAGAAAATATAAAAAATATTCTTTATTTAAATATAAATAAAATAAGCAAACATTTTAGCATTAATAATTAAATGAATATTTTTAAAACAACTTTGATTTTTAATTAATCACTAATTATTTTATGAAATATATATATATTTCATAAAATAATTAGTAATAATTTATATATATATATCTTATAATGTAATTGAGATGGATTGATAATAATAATAAGTGCAATGCCCAAATGGGGTTGATGATGATAAGCGTTGTATGTTGAAATTTGGTACACATTCTACGTCATGAGAACATACACTAAGAAGGGATTTTTTGAAATTCCCTCCCTCCGCTGAGGAGAGGGAAATGATTACCCTGAAGAATTTGGCTTCTACTGTACTATGTGGGTATTTTGCATTTTTGTGGGAATCAAACATATTTTTAGACCCATCTAAAAATTCTCTAATTAGTTATGGAAGAGGGGAGACCTAATTCTCGTACCCAGTGAAAATGGGTAAGATCAGGTGTAATCTAATAATCTTAATTTTTGTTATTGTTACTTTTTGCTGGAGCAACTCATCTGCTAGTACAGTAGAGCGTCGATTATCTGAATGCCAATCAACCAAAATGTCTGTTAACCGAAAGCATTCCAGTCAGACTGTGTTGTGCTGAATCGAACGTTTTTGATACTAGATTAACTTCTAAAGTGTAATTTTTTTGTTTTTATATTTTTCAATATATTTATTTTGTTTGTACAAAATAAAGAAATAATTTTTAATGATACGATAGCCACGATTATTATTATTATTAAAAAATTTTCATTAGGCTTAACATTGACAAAAATTCAACGGGAAGCGACATGCAATGGAGAAAAATTTAAACATGGGATATATTAATATACTATATTAATAATGTATTTTTTCGTAAATTATCAGTTATCTGAAAAAATCAATTTTCCAACCTCAGTCCCCAATTGATTTAGATAATTGATGCCCTACTATATATATATATATATATTTTTTTTTTGTAGTATGTTATGATAAATAATATATATATTCTTAAGGTGTTATTGAAAGAAAGTATAGAAGTTTATAACTCTGCATTACTAAAATGCAGAAATATCAGATATCTGGCAGAGTTGCAAGAATTTTATGAAACTTATTTTTTAGTTTATGATAATTTTATGTATTTAGAAATAAAATGAGTAAATAAATATTTCTAAATACATATTTTGTACATAATAAAATTATAATTATTATTTAAAACCAAATTATTTTATTTTTTTAGAACAATTTTAAATTTTCTTTATTTTTTTAAAAGACAGTTTTATTGGGATAAATATTTTTGATTTTAAGAACTTATTCTAATAGAAAAGAAACCAGAATATTTTATGTTTATTATTATTGAATATTTTAAATGTAAATTTTAATTTTAATTTTAAAACTAATAAGTAAACATCTCTTTTAAAATTAATATTTAATTTTTAATAAAGTGTTTTATTTGTAGTATTTTCTACTGGAAACCAGCATAGGTTGCTTGAACATAGTTTTTCTTCTCTCTTACAATGTGATAAGTGCCATTTATTTCTGAGAGGTTTAGTTCATCAAGGCTTACTTTGTCAAGGTAATACATCAGTTTTAATGGGAAATGAAATGTAATTTAAAATCTTCTAATTCATGTCAAGATAGATATTTAAATACAATCTTATATCTAAGATATGAATATCAAACTAATACTACAAATATCAATGAATGGTTTGGAGAGATTGGAAAATATTACATATTCATTTGCATGATTCTCATATACTATATTATTAGAAATTTTATTTTAAATTTAAAAACACAAACAAATGTAAATTGAAAAATTTGTTTGAAATGTACTAAATTCAATGAATATTAATATGTCAAGAAATAAATAGTTGAGTAGAAATATTTAAGTATGTCTTAAAATCAACTGTGTTACAGTTATGAATAATAATAATATACTTCTTGAATTTATAATGATCAATGATTTTGTTTCAATAATGTTGAAAAAATAGAATTTCAGATTACTTTGAATTAAGTTTTTATAGGTTTGACTATTTTACTTAAAAAACACCAGTTTTTTAATTAAAATGGCTTTTTTTCCTATGTTCATCATAGATTTAGCTAGGCCACAATGGGGGCAGTCAGCTGTTGAGGGATGAGGCCTGACATATCCAATATAGACTACTAAGAAAAATTTCTTTGGTTTGCTCATACAGATTTGATCTCTGGTCTCCTAGATCATTAGAATGATATCTTAGCTATCTTTGGCATTGAGTAATTGAAGGGAGGCATAATATTAATTTAAATTCTAAGAAAAGTCAGTAAACAATGGAAAAATTGGTAGGATATTTCTAGGATGCATCTAATATAAGTTCTAGAATAAGTACAAATTTATTATTATTAAAGATATTGAAAAAAAATATCCAAGAAAAAGACTACTATTTGTAAAGACAGATATAAATGTATACAAGAAATATTTTACAATTTTATTTTTACAAGTATTTAAAAATATATTTGTAAAAATAATAATTTTCATAGAGACTCATGTAAGAATAATATAAATCAGTTAAGATTAAGTTTTTAAATACAAGATAAAGAATTTTATAGTTGTAAAACTGGAAGGAATCTTTGTTAACTGAATGAAAGACATCAATTTTCACAGTGATAGCAGTGTATCAAACTTTCAGCAAATATATAATCTACTTTGCATTTTAATAGATTAGAAATTTATAAAGTATGTTTGCTTTTTTCATAATTATGTTTTATAAGCATATTTACAGATAAAAAATAAATATTTACAGATAAAAAGTACTATTAGAAATTATGTCAAAGGTTCAGACTATTCTATTCTGGAGATTAGAGCATTTCTTTCTGATTGGATAAATGCTAAATTTTAAAAAAATGAAATGTTTATTGATACATTTATTTTTTATTGGTGAAGTATTAAAAATAATTTAAAAGTTTATTAAAGTATAGGAAACAAATATCAACTAACTTTATTACTATTTCTCAATTACTTGTAAATTATTTGAACATTATGATGATAGTAATAATAGTAAAATTGTGTTTATGTACGTACATATATTTATGTTGAAGAGTTTTAAAACTTTTTAGTGCACAAATAGTATAGTCGACTCACCTTGAAACAAACACTGACAAAGCAAATTTTTGTGTCAAAGAATTTTGCCATTGCCCCAGCAGTTCATGCAATAAAGCAAACAAAAATTTTACTAGAATTCATTAAACTGAACTTTATATGCCCTTCCAACTCCAAGCAATACCCTATTTTCATTAATGGTTGCCTAATGCATTTTTTGACATAAAAAATAAAAACATTAAAAAAATTAAACAAAATATTATTTTCTAAAACATTTTTTCTTTTATTGGATGTTAACACTTTGAAATCATACTGTTCATATGCATTTTCAGATTGTGGTTTAATATGTCATCGTACTTGTGCTGCCACAGGTCTGCCACCTTGCTGTACAGATAAAATTAATAATAGGCTAGGACTTATATCAAGTAAGTTATAAGAATTTTTTTTCTTAATAAACTGAAGGTGAATGTTTTATTGAGATCTTAAATCTTCTTTAGGTATATTTGGAAAGGAGTTGTCTGGTCAGTTTAATCAGAGTCAGCAATCTGCACCACCACTTGTATTGAAATGTATTGAAGAAATAGAAAGAAGAAGTACTTTTATACCTAGTAAATATTTTTTAAAAATTAATGAAATATATTGTTAATGTATTTTTATATTGTTGTTAAACATAATTAGACTTATGTTATGATTATGTAAAAACATTGTAAATTTAAAATAACTTAAAATTTATAAATGATTTTAGAAAAATATAATTTTAATGTTATGTCTGTAGTATCTTTCTATTTTTTTAAAATTACTGAAATAGATTGGTTTGGGAACATTTATCTATCAGTTTAAAAAAGAAATAAATAAAGTGTATAGGAAAGAAGTACAGAAAAAGTTGGAGTACAACTTTCTCCAAAAGTGATGAAATGATTTGAATTGTTTCTAAGTTACCTTTATTTATTTTTTTCTCACATTTTTATAGCACTTAACTCAAATTAATTTTTATAAGAAATGATTTCTATACCATGTAGTTACATTTATGATGACTACATGGTATAACAATTATTTATTATTAATAAAATTATTTATAGAAACATAAAATGTGTGTAGTTAGTTACATAAACTCAAAATCTTCAGGAATGCATTTTTCACAGAATGTGAAGATGTATCTCTGAAGACTTTGAATGATTCAAGACTACTATTTTGATAGAATGAATATAAATAAACTCTTGGAATAGATGGGTGTTTAGCATTATAGTATATTTTTACTTTTAAACATTATTTTATTATTTAAGGTTGTCTTCATTTTTTACAAAGTTACATCATTGTTATCAATTATAAATTATATTCCAATAGCATTGAATGAACAGAAGATATAAAGGACATGAGATTGGGACATGGTGATTGTACGTTATAATATAGTAAAATAATATAGCAAGCTTGGTATTAACAATTGAAGTAGAAAAACAGATTGTTCATTTTTTTTAAATGCTCTTAAATAATTTTTTTTAAATGCCTTTATTTAGATAGAATTAAGATTATCCTGTGACTATAAAGGAAATTGGCTTCTGTATCATCGTAAATTCTTTTTTTGTCCAGTTATCTGTTTAAATAGAAAACTGCAGCCTTAACATTTTTCATGCATAGTTTTTTATATTTCTCTTTAAAGGAAGATTGTAATAGAGATTAGTCATTTAAGAGAAGTAACAACTGTTTCTAACTTTCCCTTAAGACTTTTCAAATAATTTTACAAGGAAGATTTAGGACAAATTTCTAAACATTGACAGGAAGTTCTGTTAAAATAAGTTAAGATAGGTTTGCCAGGCTGACATACACTCTCGATGCTGTAAAGCTGCTAAGACTATCACTAAAAGAAATGAGATGACACTAGTTACTATTACACTCTTTACTTTTTATGATCTAGCTAAAAATGAAAAAAAAATGCTGAAAAATATAATGTTGTGTATAAAATTCCAATAGATTTGAATGGAACTAATAACACTGTTTTGTAAAGGAAGTATATGGTTTTAATTTCCAATGACAGGTTGAGAAAAAATATCAGGAAACTGTCAGAAGAAAAAATAAGTATAACTTTGATGGAAGAAATAATTTTAAATAATAACACAAAAGTCAAATGGAAAGCTAAGATAATGATGTCAGACTATAAAAATATTCCTTTGAGAACTGTGGAAGAACTTGCTGCTAATAGTAACTTAAACAAAAAACAGAAGGCTTCTGATTTGGATCTGGATTCCTCTCAATATCACATATAGAAAGACATAAAAAACTTAAATGTAACATTTAATATATTTTTATATGTTTTCTAAATATGATTTTGATTTTAGCATAGACTAACTTTTTATTTAATAAAATTTCTAAATAGCTAGACTAAATTCTTTTTTAATTTTCACATTTTCCAGCACTTTTAATGTTTAAAAGTTTTTAAATTTTCATGTCCTCACTATATTTTAAAAGTTTGAATTCTTCAATCTTAGATGTTCAAAATATTGTTGCTTTTCATTTGATTAATGTTAAAATTTCTGAGATGTAATGATTTGAACTTAATCTCAGAAAATGTTTCATCTTATAAAGCTCTTTCTTTAATATTTAGGATATCATTATGTGTTTATATGGAATTTAAAAAAACTTGTATAATAATTAACAGAAACTGTTTGTCAGATTTTGATTATGGTTTTATTATTCAAATATTAAATATGAAATATATTTTGTCAGTTATCTAGTAATTAACAAAATGATACTATGCTTTTAATTTTATTGTTATTTATCAATGTGTATTTATAACTAAAAATTTTTAAATCTTTGTATATTAATAAGGATTTTTTCATAAATTAGAAATATGAATTAATTTCTATTTAAATAATAATTTAATTTAATTTTAATTGATAATATAAATATACTAAGTTTTTAATACAAATTTTCATTTATTTGACAGATATTAATATATATACAGTGTATGGTACTTCAGCATCTACTGAAAGTGTTAATGAGCTGAGACAGAAATTCAGTGAAGGTAAATCCAATTAAACATATTTAAGAAATATGGTTGGTTATTCAAATAAATTAAAATTGAAAAATTTTAAGTAATTGAATAAATGAAGCAATGTATTTATCAGATGATTAATTCATTTTAGTTAATCAAATTTTGAATCATTTAAATTTCCATTAAATATTTACACAGTCTTTTATAAATACTTTTTAAACAATATATTTTATAATTAGATTTCGTAAATGTTGATCTTGAGAAGTATGAATTAAACTGTATTGCAAGTGCCTTAAAGAAATTTTTGAGAGAATTACCAAATCCTGTGATTCCTGTACAGCATTATGATAAATTTATTGACGCATCAAGTAAGTATTAATTAAAAAGTATTTTATAAAAATAATTTCTTACTTAGAAAGCAAATTTATAAAATGATTACTTTCAGAAATAACAAATGATGAACATTGTTCCTCATGCCTTCAACAACTAGTCCAACAATTACCAAATCATCATAAACTTACATTACAAACATTAATGGTTCATTTTTGTCATGTTTGTCAGATACAACATAGACATGATTTTCGTGAACCTCCAACTGTTCTAATACGTGTACTTTGCCATATTCTTCTGAGACCTCCGTGGGAAAGGATAATGTAAGATTATACATTTGATAATTTAACTTTGTAGAGTTCAATTTAGTTGATCATAAGATGGCATAGGTTATCTTATTGTTTTTATTTTAATTTTATTATTTTAAATATAACTATTTATAATTAACTATTTAAAAAAAAAAGGTTTTTAACAATATTGAAATCTCACATTATATTAATTAATAACAAAATTTTTCATATACTTAGTACAGGAAATCCTCATTAGTTCAAAATTCAAAAGACAAACTATTTGCAACATCGAATTTCAAATTATCTGATATTTACATATTTCTGTTTAATAAACCAAATGACATGTAACTGAAGTAATGTATTAAGCAAACAAAGTATTGCTACTTATACAGAATGCTAGTTTCAATAAATAATAATAATAATAAAAATAATCTGCAGGTAAACAGCATATGTCCAGTGAGAACCTCACAGGTCGCCAGATACGTTTTATAAAAAGGAAAGCAGAATTTCTCAAAATGTAGCCCAAATTATTTTTAAAATGGCCCAAATGCCTGTAGTTCTACAAATATCTCAATTTGCTAGTCATACCCAATTTCACAACCTTGAAACCCAGCTGTATTTTATGAAAAAAGAAAAAAGTGTAGTCCATATGTAATGTGCACCTGAAAATGTGTTATTGGAATAGCAAAGTCATGTTGACCAGATTAGAGTTGTTCTTGGTTTATTGTTCTCTTATAACAAGGTGACACTTTGATTTAAACGATTGAGTTAACATATGCATATTACAGTTTGGGCAGAAATTTCATTTTGAATTTTGAAGTAGCCATATTTTGAATTAACTGAATTCCATAACATGTAAATCTGTGTATCACTGGCTGGGACAAAAGTACAGTTATGAACTAATGGAATTTCAAATTATCTGAGTTCAAATTAACAAGGATTTCCTGTATTATGAAAACTTAAATATGAATAATTTTAAACATAAATTTATTCATATTTTAAAATATGTATTTACTTAAATTGTTTAATATACTGCATGTAATAATTCTTTTAAGATTGAAAAATTAATGGAAATTCATTTTACCTTATAAACATCAACATCCAAATAACACCGGGATGATCAACAGCATACCTTGAACCTGTTACTGGTGTGAGTTGCAAGAAGGATAAAATACATCACAAATGTTTTTGAACCGATTAAAGTTCTTCCTCAGGTGATACACAGAATATCTGATGGAACACAGAGTAAATAGAACACGAAGATTTGAATATTAGATCAAATTCGTGTCTCTTGAAATCGTCCTGTTGGGCATGCGCATTTAAGTGGGAGCAGCTGTTAGCATTTAAAGATCAATATCCATCAAGGCCTGCCATGCAACCAACAAATTCAACTCTTCCTTGTGATTGTGCAAGTGGTGGTGAGGCTAGATTTAATATTGAGGTGGCCTTTAACCAGATGAACAAGAAATCCTCACTTCACCTCACACTGAGCATCTGATATGGTTAGAGTTCCTTTCCATATGTAAATCTAGCCTCACCACCACTTGCATCAGTCACAAGGAAGAGTTGAATTTGTTGGTTGCATGGCAGGCCTTGATGGATATTGATCTTTAAATGCCAACAGCTGATCCCACACGAACACGCATGTCCAACAGGATGATTTCACGAGACAAGGATTCGATCTAATATTCAAATCTTTGTGTTCTATTTACTTTGTGTTCCATCGGATATTCTGTGTATCACCTGAGGAAGAACTTTAATCGGTTCAAAAACATTTGTGATGTATTTTATCCTTCTTGCAACTCACACCAGTAACAGGTTCATGGTACGTTGTTGATTTTACCTTATGTTAATATATATAGTGTATATAATCATTTTGTTATTGTAATTAATTTTTGCATTATACAAACAATATCTTTTCCATGTTATATTTTTATATCTGAATTTCAATTATACATAAATGAATTCAAAGATTTCCAGTGACTAAAAGTTTTTAGATACTGCATTGCCAAAATATAACATTTATGAATTATAACTAGAATTTTTCTAATAAATATGATATGAAAATATAAAGTAATTAAGAAATTTGAAGAAATAAAATTTTAATTTTGTAATTTAATTTAGATAGCGTAATTAAAGTAAATTCTGTTAAAGGCTATGTGACCATTTTTAATTGTCTCATAGCCTTTAACAGTATAATTTTGGCAATAAAACAATATAACAAAAATAAAAATTTGCATGCATATGATGCAAACAAGAGTTTTGAAAAATGAAAGATATATAAAATATTTAGATCATTCTTTTACATTTTTAGAAATAACAACAACAAATATGTTGTTGTGTGTATATAAATAAAAAAAAACACACCTAGATAAATTTGATTAAGAACTTTTCTGATCTGTTTCATTTTATTGTAAATATAAGAAAAACATTGTTATGAAAGAATTTTTATTTGCTTTATTCAATTTTGAAACTTCATATATAAGGGGCTGTCCGTAAATTATATCAGAATTTTTCTTGAAACTTTTTATTCTCCCTTTACCTCTTGTCCCAGTTTATCCAAGTTTCTGAAATCCCTCCCTTCTTTGGATGTCCAACAAAACTCTACTTTCATTAAAACCTTTATCGCCTTATGAATGATAGAAACCATAAGTAGAAACAAAACATATGAGAAATTTTGAAATAAATATAATAAAATGCATAAACTGTATAAAATTTAATGAAATAAATAGATGTCTACGAAGTTTGATACTTTCTCTTCCTTGTTTGATTTTGTATGACTTATCATAATCTCCTCCCTCCCTTCCAGTGTGAATGTCATTTATATACAGCCTCTAATATGTAATTTATTTNCAGATGACCAAACATTATGATCAATTCTATGAAGATTTCAATAAAACCCTACAAGAGATTCAATTAAAATGACAGGCTTTAGATACCTTTAATGAAATAGTTTTGTTATTTGTATTTATGCTGATTATTAATAAAAATTAATAAATAATAATAAAATATTTAAATTTGTGGTGTTTTTGCAGTCAAATTGTACATAATACTGAAGCCCATATCAGAGTTATAGAGCTTTTATTATTGAAAGTTGATTGGGGAGAAAGCATTCCAGAATTTGATACAGCACCAGGTAAATAATAAATTTGAAATCAATTATTACTAAACTGATTTAAATTGACAATAACAATTTTATTAAAGCTCTTCCACCTCGTCGACCATCTCGTATAACAAATCCCCAACTTGATACCCTGAGCAGTCCAAGTGCAGGAAATAATTTTCATAGTGGAAGTGTTAATAATATTGATAGTGTTGATACGGGTAATAATATAATAAATAGGGTAACGGATAATCCTAGATCATTGCAAGATGCTGAATGGTATTGGGGAGATATTACAAGGTATGAATTTTTGTATAAAATTAATTTTGTTATTAAGTTTATAAGTATAAATGATCACCTATGTTTGTTTTTCACTTTTTATATATATTTATTAAAATACATAAAAACTTGAATGAATATGTTCATTTATTGTTCTGATTTTATCAGTAAAAAGTGTACAGTAAATAATTATTATTATATTGGTTATTTCAAAAATTATACTGATTGTTTGCATTTATTACTTATCTGTTTAAGTGAAATAAATATACAAAACTAAAATATTTAATAATAAATGCATGTTGAGTTTAAATCAGCTAACAAATTGTATGAAACACTGATCTGCATGAAACTGGTTGAGCATAAAAGCAGCTTAGTTTTGTAATGCAAAATTGGAAATAACAAATCTTTAGACATTGGTGTGAAGAAATGAGGTGGATAGCAATAAGTAGTAGTAAAGTATGATAGTAGGAGATAGCTAAATGTTAATCATAGTCATATTATAAGCTACTTTTGGAATTATTTTTAAACAACCAAAACTTCTCTAGAAGACCTGTTTCTAGATATTCAAGGGTTAAAGTGCATTGACAATTACTTGCTCCTAAACAAAAAAGGCTATTGAACTTGTATAATATAGCAGTTATTTCAGGTCTTGTTGCAATCACAGATCTGGAAAGCAATGTTTAGAAGGCATCATAAAGATGACTTTTATTCAGAACAACTTTTAAGAAGCCTTTGTCTTTGTCTCTGATGTTTTTTAGAAAAAGGCTTAGTTGAATTGGTTTTGAAAACTTTGCAACTAGATTCAGTCAATCAACTGTCACACTCTTCATAAATGAATCCTGATTTAGTCTCCAAACAGATCCCTAACACACATTGTTATGGACACAACATAGAACTAAAATCATCTCATAAATATTTAAGAAAAATATTTTTGGAAATAGTGATATGATGTTGATGGTTGGCAGCACTACCAATTGCTATACACATCTTCAACTTTGTTAAGAAATACAGCAACAAAAGTAAGGACTATGTTGTCTGGAACCTATATTCATTTATTCTTGCAGTAATAGGTCCTCACATCTTATTTGTCTCAATAGACTTTGTTTATTGATTCAAGCCCTAAAAATGAAATGACTTGTTCTGAATCTCATTGAGTGTCTGAGATTTTCTAGGAACATCGTAAAATGGCAGTCTTGGTACATCTTCCTACAACCTGTTGCAATCAAAAGTTGTTCTTTTACAGGAATGAGTGTTAATCCTTCAAACCCTCATTGATGATCTTGTTTGCAGCATGCAAAATCTCTACCAATTTTTTTTGTTTTGCTAACCAGGATGACCACAAACTGTGTTGAAAGATATTAATAGTTTTAATAGGATTTATGCTAATTTTGAATATAAATTGCCTTATCTCATTAAATATTGCAAAAATTCTTTTTTTGTCATGCATTACTTTGATATATTGTAATGCACTTCACCTCAAAATTTTTGTTATTTTGTTAAAGGAAATTTTATTACAGTGGAGCATCAATTATCCAAATGCCGATTAACCGAAAGCGTTCCAGTCAGACTGTATCATGTTGAATCAAACATTTTTGATACTAGATTAGCTTCTAAAGTATAATTTTTTTTGTTTTTATATTTTTCAGTATATTTATTTAGTTTGTACAAAATAAAGAAATAATTTTTAACAATATAATAGCCATGATTATTATAATATAATAAAAGTTTTTGTTAGGTTTAACATCGACGAAAATTCAATGCAAAGCAACACGCAACAGAGAAACATTTAAACATGGGATATATTAATATACTATTATTGGGATATACTAATACTCTATATTAATAATGTATTTTTTCATACATAATTGGTTATCCAAAAAATCGATTTTCCAAACAACCCCAATCTCCAATTGATTCTGATAATCGATGCTCTACTGTATTTATTGTTTGCATTTGTTGCTGGACTTTTGAGAAGTTAATTTTTAGTGTATTAAAAAAAAATGTAGTAATTGTTAAATATTGCTTTGTTTAATGAATTTCTTATTGCATAATATAATATTTACATGGTATACAAATTATATAATTTTGACTTAACTCAGTCAGAAAAGTGTGACAAAATTTCATTTTGTTATATTTTTCTGATTGTGCTAAACCAAGGTCTATGTTAACTATTATATGTTGCAGTTGTGTTTGCTACCTCTTTCAACTTATATGTCTGGTGAGATAGGCTTTTTCATTCTGTGCTATGTTTCAATGTTACACTGTATGCATTAAATGTAGCTTCATATCAGGAAACTTGCTTGCTTTATATTTTTATTTAATTTTTTTTTTTTGATAAATTTTATTGAGATAAAATTATCAACCTCTTCAGTAAACAAATTGAAGAAGTTAGTAATGGATACAATGTAATATTTTTAATTAAAAAGGAAGAAAATTGTTTATAAATAAGTAAAGATATAGAATTATTTTGATGCAAATGCTTTTATTAAGTGATTACTGAAATTTTTAAGTATTTTCAATTGTTTAAAAATATTAATGCATCTAATAAATGAATGAATTTTCATAATAGAAATTTTAAATTTTAGGGAAGAAGTGAATGAAAAATTAAAAGATACTCTAGATGGAACTTTCTTAGTAAGAGATGCTTCAAATAAAGGTTCTGGTGAATACACTCTGACCCTTAGGTATGTGTAAATCTTTAATAAAAAAGATGGGCAAAATATTTTTTCAAATTTGAGTATTAACCTTGATCTTGACTATTGAAATACCTTGAATTATCTTAAATATAACTTTTATAAATTATTAATTAAATATTATTGTTTAACTTCTTTATTTTAATATATTATTTTATATATATGAAATAAATGAATTCAAAAACCAGTTGTCAGGCTCTTGTAGTTGTTTGTGGTTAATGTCTGACATTTTGAGTTATAAGTGTAACTTACTGAGTAATAGCCCTAATATACTTTCACTGTGAGTTTTGATTGAGTTTAACTGTGAACTAATGTATATGAAATAAGACAGATGAAACTTGGTGAAAATCACAACACAATGATGTAAGTTTCAGTGCATTAACAAGAAGTCAAGACAAGACTGTAAACAGTAAACAAATTCAAGGATTGTAGTTATTCAATGCACCAAAGACCACTAGCTGTATGTATAGTGTAATATTTGAAGTATTAATAGTATTCAAATTTATTTTTTATTGATGTTATATTCAAGATCTTGACTCAAATATTTTCTAGTATCTAAGGATTTCAATATTTTGCAGGTATCACTTGCCCATCTCTAATTTTTTTAGTTCTTTTAATGTTTTTAGTAAATAAACATAAAAGCTGATAATTGTTTTAATTTTTGTAGGAAAGGAGGCAGCAATAAATTAATAAAAATTTGCCACCGAAATGGAAAATACGGTTTTTCTGAACCATTAAAATTCAATTCTGTTGTAGAACTAATAAATTATTATAGAAATGTATCACTAGCTCAATACAACAGGACACTTGATGTCAAATTGTTATATCCAATATCAAGATTAAGTCAGGTAAGAGAAATTTATATTGCTCTGTTCAAAACAGAATATCTTTGAAAAAAGATTGTTAGACATTTAATTGATCTTTAAAACAAAATGTTTTAGGATATTTTTGATAAATTATAACTTTAATAGCAAAAAGAAAAGTTCTTCTGTTTGTGTTGCAATTTAAATAGTCTTAGATTTGATCTTAGCAGGAATTATCTAAATGTTTTAAATTAATTGTTGGTTCTTCAGGATTCAAATGGGTGGTCTACCAATAGGTTAATTTGTTTGAATAGCTGAATTCAATCCCAGCTTCCATAGAGTGGTAAACTGACACTTTGGCCATCCATCTTGGCTGAATGGTCAAGACACTTTCAATGCTTTGGTTATAATGCAAAAATTTCAATTGTGATAACAGTAACATTATTGTCCGTAAGCTTTTCTTGTCAGATTTATGTCTTATCTGATTTGAAAATAAATAAATAAAAAAAAAAAGGATTGTTTATTCTTGGATTAATCAATCTATTAAATGAACTTTAAAGTAACTGAAATAAATGATAATAATAATAATGCAGGTAATAATAATAAACCAATAAATAAAAAAATTTCAGATTATTTCAACAAGTTCAGAATTATCAATAAAATTACAGGAGAAATCGAATTCATGAATGTATTAAAAAAAAATAGTACTGTAATCTTGTATGTATCTTTAACCAGTGATATAGATATGACTGTTAATTAATATTAATCAGTTTCTTACATCATATCATAATATAAACAATAAATTAAATATGTATATTATGTATATATTATAGTTGTATTTTTAAGTAATTTTCTAATATAAGTATTTTAATTTAAATTATATCAAAAAAAGTAATAAAGATTGAAATTCAAAATTTATCAGGAAATCATCANTTGTATTTTTAAGTAATTTTCTAATATAAGTATTTTAATTTAAATTATATCAAAAAAAGTAATAAAGATTGAAATTCAAAATTTATCAGGAAATCATCAGCTATGTAGACTTTTGCAAATTACTAATTAATTACTTGTTGCACTCTTTTAAGTTAAAAATGTAACATGTTTAAAATATTTGTATTTTTAATTGATTCTGTGATACCAGTTTGCATGAATTTTATTTTAAACAAAATGTGATAGGTGAATAAGTTCTAATATGTGAATTGGAATTGATCATGTATAAAGTACTGTCTATTCAACTTCATATTTGTTACTTGCATATAGTTATTTTATTTCCTAAATATATGTTAAAAGAGGTTCAAGGAACTATTCTAAGTATGGAATATTCATGGTTGTGGCAGTTAAGACATCAGCCTATGACTCTGAGGACCTGTGTCAAAAAACTTCAGAAATTTTTCAGGAATTCAGTGTCTTGAATATGCTTGTCCTCATTTTTCACTATCCAGTTACTCCCATTGTGGCCTGGCTGAATCCACAATAATAAATACCAATTGCCAAAGTCTCCAGTTATTTAACATTACCATTGACTTATTAGCTTAATTTTTAAAAGTTAAATAAAAAAATTTAATAAAAATTACTTATAATAGAATTTATTGTGATCACTTTGGGACATGTCTAAATTGATCACAATGACCAACTGATAACATTAAGCAAGATAAGTAAATAAAATTACAGTTAGTGAAGTTCTGTTTTTATTTATTCTGACATTAAAAATGCATATCTTTGAAGGTTGTTAATATGTAATTCATCTATTGTATTTACTTGTTAGGCTCTAGGGCCAGCAATCTAAACTACTGTATTGTGAAAAAATAATGATTAAAACAATAAACATTTAATGTTTAAAGCAGTGGTTAAGACTGATAAGAATAACTGGTGATTTGTTTGTTATTAACCTCATATTGAAGTTTGTAAGCATGAGAAGACAGTATAAAAATGCCCATTAATCCAAAAATAGTGATGCTGATAAAACCAAATTCTGATTTCAATAAGTATAGTCATGTGTATTTTGGAAACCTGGTTGCATTATTGAATTTAATATAAAAGAGAATGAATTTGTAATTTTATAATTATTAATAGAAAAATAAACTAGTAATTATGAATTGGATAAATGTATGCTTTTCTCAATGAGTAAATTTTATAAATAATCGACAGTAGTCTTAATATCTAAGTTAAGCTTATACTAATGTGGAGTTTTAACAACAACAATTCTTGGTTATTTTAAAGTGAAATTTTGAAAAATTTTGTATTTCTAAATTGTTTTTTCATTTTACTGAAATATGAATTTTTATTTTTAGGCTGAAGATGAGGAGGAAAGCACTGCTGATGTAGAAATAGTTGGGCAAAAATTAATGGATATTAATAGAGAATACCTCCAGATGACCAAGCAATATGATCAATTCTATGAAGATTTCAATAAAACCCTTCAAGAAATTCAATTAAAACGACAGGCATTAGATGCCTTTAATGAAACAGTTAGGTTATTTGAAGGACAGATTGAACTCCATCTTCAGTTCCAAAAGGATGCTCTACCTCATGAAATTAAGCCGTAAGCTTATTTAAAATGATATCTTTTAAAACTATTGATGAGAAATAAAAATAGATTTAACATTTTAAGTAAAACATGAATATTATTTATAAATTTCAGATTAATGGAAAACTTTGAATTGTTAAAAAGTCGTCTGAGTACTGTTCAAGAAAACAAGACCCAGTTAGAAAATGAATTGAAGTATCAGACTGCATACAATCGCTCACTTGACAGAGAAATGAATTCTTTGAAACCAGAGATTTTGCAATTATATAAACAACGAGAACAGTATCAGAGGTAGAAATATATAACAAAAATCATTTTCTGTAAAATATTAAATTTATAGTAAAGTTATATCATAAAATTTAAATATCATTTACATTATATAAGTTACAGCATTTAATAATTAAAATAATAATTTATTTTTGTAAAATGAACATTCAAATTGTTTTAATTTTTTGTTTAAATTTATTTTAATATTATATCATAATATTTAAACTTTGTTTAAAAAAATTTTTTTAATGTGGAAAAATTATAAGTATTTTAAAAATTTAACGTTTGTCCAGTTTTGTTCACCCTTTATTCCTCAATAAGTTAGCTATTCAAAATAAACAATTATTTTGGCATATTTTCAAGAAATAATGCAAGAATTAACTAAACAAAAATTTATTATTGCTTAAGTTATCAGCATAAATACAAAGTGATAAGTTTTGTGAAAGATATTGAAATCAACTAAATTTGATTTGTTTATGGATGTTAACAGAGAATACCTCCAGATGACCAAACATTATGATCAATTCTATGAAGATTTCAATAAAACCCTACAAGAGATTCAATTAAAATGACAGGCTTTAGATACCTTTAATGAAATAGTTTTGTTATTTGTATTTATGCTGATTATTAATAAAAATTAATAAATATATTCTTTATCGTATTCACTCTATGCATATTTTTGAAATATATATTTCAGCATTATATTTTTAATAGGTTCTGGTAATAACTTTCTTTTTCATTTCTCCACACACTAGTTTTATAATGAAAAGTTTTTAAAGGTTTTCAGTTAAAAATATCATATACGTTTTATCTTAAGATCTTATGTTTATCTTGTTAAAAGATATCTAACAGGATAGTAGACTTCTTATTGTAACCACACTGTTGAGTTAATTTTAAATCATCTGTAACTATATTGCAATTTTACTAAACAAAGGCTAAACTTGCACAAGTTATACAAAGTTCCTTTTAAATAAAAGGCACTTTGTATAACTTTAGCATCTGCTTAGCAAAATTGCAGTGCAGTTATTGGACAATTTAAGATATTAAAATTAAAAGTTTAAAATTAAAAAAAGTTTTATTTGTTAAAAAGTTAACAAATTTCAAAAAGAATATAATAAATAATTAATGAGCTGAAATCAATTGTTTACATATTCTTTTCAATATTTGTTATTTTGTGGAAGATGGAATTGTTTTTAAGGTTTATTCAAATTTATGATGGAAGGATATATAAACAATACAAGACAAGATAAAAAATTTTAAAAAGTTTAGTTAAAAAGATAAAAAGTTTTTTATATAAAATAATATAAAAATTTAAATGTATTTTGATTTTGGGTTTGGAATTTTGATTACATTCATTCTTTATTTATAAGATGATCAAAGTCTTAATTATATTGGAATAAAATTATAGAAAATAAAAAAAAATACATGTATTCATGTATGTATATGCTGTATCTATTTAGTTTGTTTATAAATATTAAAGAATATGAAAAAATTTTTTCATTGTATAATATATTTATCATATCTTCTAATATATTTTTCACAGTCAATGTAAACATTAGTTATACAGTATATAATCTGATTTGTAATTATTGACTTTAGATAAAACAGTGTTTTAAAATTTTATCATGTAAATGAAGAAAGTATTTTTAATAGCTGCTAAATAATTTAACTTGCCACCATTTAAACAGCATTATATTTATTTATTTTGAATAAAAATATAGTTATTCTGAATGAATTTTTTTTTTATAGCTGGCTTTTAGGGAAAGGAGTGAAGAAAGAAAAGATTAATAAATTACTACAAGATTCATCAGCAGAGGCAAAAGATATTACCAGGTAAACATTAAAATTAAAAAATTGTATACAGTGAAATGTCATTTCAGCATTCATTGATTAATTAATTAAAAATTATGCTGTAAAATTGTTTTTGTCACTTTATATCTTTGGTATTTATAAGATTATCATTATAGTAAAATTATCTGTTATTAAGTTCAAATAAAAAAATTTCTCTATTATTTAGAATGTTAATTTATATATCAAAATTTACTGTAAAGAAAAGAGAGAAAGATTTGATACAGTTTTTTGGCAGAGTTTTTTTAACTTTGTTATTTTTAGATATGCTATTCTCTGTGAAACTCAGCCTTGGGCTAATTTATACTTTACAAGAGCAGAGGGGCAATAAGGAAGGAATGTTAAAATTATTTGTTTTGCAACACTTGGTACATTATTCATGGCATAATTCCATTTTTCTGATAGTTAGAAATTTCTTCTTCTTTTCCTTCTATTTGTGTGTGGGTTATAGCTCTCAATTCTTTGCACTGTTAATTAAGGAAACCAATAAAATATAAATATTTGTGTAAACTTTTAAAATGTGCATGCATGTGTGATCATAAATTATCCTAAAAGAGATTCAAACTTTTGATAACTATTCATTTAAAATTTATATAAAATTTTGAATATATACTTCAGAGTTATTTTTTCTAATTTCTTTTATTCCTATTTGAATTCATCATTCCTCCTCCTCTTCAAATTTATTGAAAGCAAATATTTTAGTTTTTACAAATAAGATATACCTTTTTATGTGCACTTTAGAGTAGCTAAGAACTAGTATATTTTAAACAGTGTGTGTATATTGCAAGCACATGTACTTTGTTACTACAACATTATTTTAAAGTATGAATGCATGTGAGAAGAGAACAAAAGAACATTGATATAGTTTCTTCTTTATTTTCAAAGTATGAATTGATTCTTGTGTTGAACTATAAATAAATTTTGCATTTCTTATATTTTTGTATAAGTATTTGTGCTAATATTTATTTTTTTATATGGTTATTATTTTTTCTCCCATTAAAACATATAAGTTAAATTACTGTTATTATCTTGGTGCCCTTTACATATTAAAATACTTATCACAGTTTATTCTGCACAGTGAATTTTAATTTAATAATAATTTACTATAACAGTTGTTATAAGTTACATGTAATTTGTGGTTTTTACAATTAATCTTTGTTTTTATTTTATCCTTAATTTCTTCCTGGAGCAAATTTGTTCCATAAATTTTGGCTGATGAAATTCTTTTTATTTGTTTATGAGATAAGTTTGTCAATCTGTGTAATTTTCTTAATTATAACACTTTAGTGTAAAAATGTCTAATTCTAAAAAATATTTTAATAAACAAATAATTTCTAATCGTAGAGATTCGTCATTTGTCCACGATGATGAAAATTTGCCACATCAGAATGATAGTACGTGGTTTTTAAAGGAAATTTCCAGAGAACAGGCAGAAATGCTTTTAGCTGGTAAAGCCAATGGTACATTTCTTATACGCCATAGTAGGAGTGGCCAATATGCTTTATCTATAGTGTAAGTAAATTATTTTAAAGTTGAGAAAATTATAAGAATACCTCAAAGTAGATAATTAATTAGTTTTGACAACTTTAGCTTAGACGGAACTGTCAAGCACTGCCTGATTCACAAGACAGAACGAGGTTACGGTTTTGCCGAGCCATACTTCATCCATTCCAGCCTAAAGAGTCTAGTACTTCACTATGCTCAAACATCTCTCGAAGAACACAACGAGTCTTTGAAGACTACACTAGCATATCCCATATTTGGACCACAGCCAGACCAGTACGTGAAATGTTATCCGAACAACTGAATATCATCATTGACAGGTCAACAAATGTGATCAAATTCGGCTACCATTATTTTTCATTTCATCTTGGATTTCTCTCATTAGTACAGTGCAGTGCATTGTGGATGTTTTTGATCTTTCAAAGAGTTGAAAACTTGCACAAAGAAAGTTCCTAGTAACAAGCTACTTTATAAACCTCCAAGAGGTATAAAGAAGAAAAATTCATTGCCAAAACTGTGATTAGTGATTTTCATTATAATTTTTAAGTTTCCAAATGATATGCAATCATTTCATTATTTTTATCATTGGGATAAGTGTGTTGTAGATGTTTTAATTCCAAACTTTATTTTCTTGGACACGAGATTGAGATTTTTGTTTATTTGGAAATAGACAAGAATATTCAAGTACAAGATAAATTTAAATTTATCATGCAATCTATTTATAAAGATAGCAAATCAAGATTTCTGATACCTCTAATATTTCACCGAAGTATTTTATTATGATGTCTCAAAATGACAATTGTAAATAATTATAAGTTTGTATGTTTTACATTTGTGTTGAGTGTTACATGTAATGCTGTATATTTATATTCGAGCATTGTACGAATAAATAATCCCACCAATTTTGCAGTCGTTTTTATACACTTCTTTAAAGGTAACTTGAGATTTGTGATTGAAAGTTCAACAGCAAATTTATGTTGAATTAGTATTTTCATAAATGTAGTACGAGTTGGGATAAATAAGAATGTTTGTCTTTAAAAGACACTTTAATAAATAATTGAATTTAAATGATAAAGTTAGTCTCATACTTTATTCTAACATTAAGTACTCTAACTCTAAATACCAATACTGTATTTAAATTGAAAATTTTTAAGTATTTTGAAGCACAATGTATAAAATGTTTCTATTTTTAAAAATATTTATGAAAGTATAATCAGATTGCGTTCATAAGAGTTCAAGTACTTACTTGAAAGACATCGGCTGTACACAGTGTTTAGCTGGCGGAAAAGGGGGGAAGGAGGAGAGAGAGGAGATAGACAGTAGAGAAAGATAGGATCCCTCTGAACGGCGTATGTATGGCTACTGTACCCTCTGTTTGATGTTGGCTTGCAGTTTTTAGGCTGCAAAGCCGTAGTCCTCCGAAGGGTTTAAAAGAAAACCTGAGTGTAGCGAGCACCAATAATTGAGTGCTGCCACAAATAGCTAAGTGTAGAAGTTAGTGCCAAGTGGCTGTTAGTAAGAAGACTTATATCTACTTAATACAGTCGACCCCCCCTATAAACTGTTGATAATTCCATTTTATAAGAATTCCACATTGTACGAGTCACTTAGATTTTACAAATACGCGAGCCGTTCACAGCCCGGCACACGTATTTGTAAAATCTAAGTGACTCATACAACATGAAATTCATATAAAACGGAATTATCAACAGTGTTATAGGGGAGTCGACTGGTACTAATAAAACTGAACGCGAGCGGAAATCTTAATACTATTGACAGCTAGACAGTGTGAAAACAAACGAACAACGACAAACTAGAGACGAACAGACCGACAGAAGAAACGAGCAAGACCCCAATTTATTATTTATTTATTATTATTATTTTCTAAACATTAACTTACTAACTAACTAACCTATCATAACCTAGGAGAGTTTAGGTATTACGAATTATGTAGTAAGAGTTATGAATTGATGCCAGATCATGATTAATGCCAAGATTCCATTTAGTACGAGTTTCAGCAACTACAGGCACATATATACTGCAGTTACTCAAGTAGAACCCTGGTTTCCAGATCTGATAAGTGTCAACAAACATAAAGAATGGACATCTCCTGTGAAAGTTTTCAGTAAACTTGTGCTGCTTTGCGCGGCATTGTGTGTGTGCTTACTCTATGAATTGAGACGGCCCAATGGCTGAGCATTTAAGGTGGTATCCCACCGCACTGGGTGGATCGAATCAGGATGGGTTGAAGCCCCAGAAATTTTTCTAAGAGTGGTCCATCCCGGATATGTGGGGCCTGTCCTCCATTGCAGGTTTGTCCTTAACGGGTTTACTAAAAAGGCCTTAGTGTCCACAGGATGGAAAGTTAAAAAAAAAACCTTTGGTTAATTAATACAGTTTGATTATCATCATCTCAAACTATATTAGAAAACAGGAAAAATAAATTACGTATTAACATTACTATATAATTTCAATGAACTGGAACCAATGATTTGTGTTAAAACCAATTCGAACAAAACGACATTCACATAAAACCTTACTCATACCAATTACGGATTTCCTGTATTAAAATAGATTCAAATACATTACTCAAACATTATATCAGCATCTGAAATCTGTATTTGTAATTTGATCAGATATATTAACAATGATTTTAATAAAGTCTTCACTTTTTTTGTGATATTTAATTAAAGGATCGTCTATATTAATAGATAGATCCATACATGCTACAAATTTGATATGATTTTGAATACAGGAAAACTTGGTCGTCCACAGTAAACATCTAGGGAGGGCAAATTATATCAATAAATTAATAATAATAATATTTTTACGATTTTTCACAAGTATATTATATCAATAGAATACAGTATTGCATCAATACAAAAACATCCTCAAACAACCTTACACCCTCGATTACGAAACACTTTGAGATATGTAACCTTTCACCCTTGTTAATCACTTTTCGATTATAATTTGTAGAAGGTTTTACTAGATCCCAGGAAGTGTTCCGTTTGCCCCCTCTGGGGCCATCCATGCAAGAAAATGTTTCAAAATAGAAAAGCACAATGCAAGGATGGGTTTTATAAAAAAAAAAAAAAAAAAAATGTAAATTCAAAGCCTATCAGTGGCCGAATGGATAAAACCACTGATCGCGGGTTCGCGTTTCGCCGACAGGATGGTCACGTGAGTTTTATGGGTTTTTCTCCATGTTTGTAGTTCATAAGTAGGGTCCAATTTCCCATAGAAAATCCTCCCGGGAGGCATCCTCCTTCCGCAGATGGCCCAGGTGTTGCGTTGCCGTAAACAAAACCAAACATTGCAAGTTCGAAACACGAAATTATCAGGCTAGAAATGTCAACTCTTCCCTGCTGGCATGAAAAATTTCCTTTTTTTTTTCATACCATAAATACGGTCATGTCTTCACAAGTCTATTACTATCATTAAATTCTACTGTTTGTGTATTGTAGCTAAGACATTTTAAATTAAGAGAAATAAAATTAAGCTTAATTTGATTATTCCAGGTTTTTCGTTAACATTTTAATTAAAATAATTATATCCATAAAAATGACGAATCTCATCTCTCATCACCCAACTACTCCCAATTATGGGTCTGACCGAATCCGATGGACATGGAAAAAGCCCTCTTACTATCCACAAGGAACGGCGATGGTTGAGCAGTTAAGGTGGCAATCTACTGCTCTGGGGGACCAGGATCGAAAAATTCCTGAGATTTTTCGATCCTGGGGGTGGTCTTTCCCAGTTATTTTGGGTCCCGTCCTTCACTACTGGACTGTCTCATTGTGGGCCTGACCAAATCCGTAATGGGCTTAGCTAAAAAAAAAGCCCTCTTTGTGCCCACAGGCCGTAGAAAGTTAAAACATATATTGGAATGATACATTCAGGAAACAATGCGTGAATGGAATATAATTCTACTTTTAAAAATATGCCTCAATAATAATTTTATTTAAAATTTGGTCATTGTTATAAGATTTATAATTATTTTGTATCTTATAAATCACTTAAACAAATGTAAAAAAAAACTGGGACACTAGAAACATGAAACAAATGTAATGGAAATTGAAGAAGTTGATATGATTGTATGCCTTTTGAGGTATTCAGACTAGTGTATCAGACTTGAAAGAGTAGTTGAGGGAAAACCAGAAAGAGGAAGACTTAAAATACTTGGATGACGTCAAGGAAAAGTCATCTTACTGTGATTAACAATGAGAAGAAAAATGTTAACACTCCATAATGCACATACCCGCTTCCAAAATTACTTAAACCTACACTCCATTAACCATTAAATTGTAGTAAGGAATAATACACAGCACGAGGTACCGAACGTTACATTATTTTATTAATTACATGTAGTACAAAGCAGTGACATAATACGGTTCACCACACATCAGAAGCAAAAATGAATCATTGTGTTACCCAAGAATCAAGACCCTAGCATTACGTAACGTTTTTATAAACGTCATCATCTCCTCGTAACGCACTTCCATATATCTGCATTACGTAATTTAGGGACAATTTTAAGTTTATAATTAAATAAATTGATTATATAACAATTGAAATTATTCAAATAATAAAATTATAATTGAAAAAAAAATCTTTTAAAATTAATTATAAAAATTGAAATAAAAAAATATTTGTTTTTTTAAAAAGCACAATTTAAATTTTTTAAAAATTTAATTATAATTTAA